CTTTACATGATCATGATAAAATAATTAGTTTCTGTCAAAGAACTCTTTTCTTGATTACATTAGCCACAATAAAAAGATCGAGAGATTTTTCAGTTCAATTTCAGAGGGGGAGGGACAATTAAATCTGAAATTGTGAATATCTTTCAAAATGCAGCAGAGTTGCACATGAGAGTGCAAGAATCTCACCAAACTCAGCTTAGTAGTCACTCCCAAGTATTTAATCAAACATGTAATATGATTTGCACTATCATACCCTACGATCCGACGGTAGGCCGAAATGGATTGTGAAAACGTCGAATAAAACAATGTGAAAACCACGCTTTTGCATAATAAGCAGCGAAAATCGATGTGGTAAAGAAAAAAAATCTCATTTTCTAAAGGGACAATTAAGCACCTTTAAGCACTTTGTAAAAACGTTATGCACCATGTCAGCTGAGTAGTGTTTTTTNGTTTTTTTTTTTTTTTTTTTGAAAATAAAACTTTCAGATAAGTACATCAATTGTTTTGGAGCTATAAACCCTACATGGAGTAAAAACTATATAGAGTAATTTTATGTGCACCTTGTATATACTATAAAGAAAAACCTTCAACAACATTGCTTGAAATTATTGCTCTTTTATAACACTGGAAAATATATTAATTAAAAAGACAAACTTAATACCTATGATACAAAAACAAAATATAAAACACTATATTTAGAGATTGATTTATGATACTTTCCTTTTATAATCAAGAAATAACTTGCACAATTATTAAATCTATTATTTTAAAATGACTTTTTGTATTTTATTCCTCATTTTTGACTAATTTTATAATGTTAAAAATTTTCAGTAACATTTTTTAAAATTATTTCAATGCAAACAGATAAATATTCATAATACATATGATAAAGACATAGAACACAAAAAGTGGAATATAAAGAAAATAATAAGTTTACTGCACTTTAAAAAAAAAAATTTCCACTAATAACAGGAAATTCAGCAAACTTTTTAATTTGAAAATTAAATATTTATTTTTTAGAATATTAAAATGAGGAAAAATAAAATAATATTTCCAGTATTGATAGCTAAAAAGAATTAAAAGAAAAAAAATTTCATTAAATTTTTTAATTTAAATTTTTAAAAATTTGACATAAAAAATATCTTTTGTAGTACACTAAAAGTAGATTCACAAATTTACTAATTTGTTATTTTTTCAATCTGAAAAGGTAATTTGCATAATGATTATTCCAGCATTTTCTATAAAAAATTTATTTTAATACTTTTGTTTCTCTATATATCATTTTCCAACAAAATGTGCGATTATAACGTTAAATCATACTCTGCATTCAAAATTAAAGCAGAACAAAAGAATAATTAAGGAGCTTTTTAAAAATGTTACAAATATTGTTTTTCATTCTCTCCCCCTTTAACACAATGTCTCACACGTCAACATATCTACTGCCCCCCCTTGTTGCATGTTATTCTAAATCACAAAAACATATACTAGCAGTTTGGAATTAAAGCGCTACGTTCAAATTTTGTTTTTAAACTTTCAACTAAGCATTTCAATAATAGTGGTGATAATTGGTAAGGCAAGGTTTATGACAGAATGAATTAATCCACTGTTTAAACCGTCCTGTTAAAAAACCCTTTGCCCAAAACCCTTTTATTTAAATTATGTCACAATTTTTAAAAAATATTGCAAAAAATAAAAGGTTAATTTTTGAACAAGAAACAGAATAAAGACAAGTTCTTGTTTTACTAAAAAAGTTTATTATTATTTTTAATATTGCACTATTTATCTTTATGCAAAAACATAATTTATCAGTATTAAAAACACATTTATTCATATTTAAAGGATGAGGTATTCACTTTTGTTGTTTAATGAATTGTGGAGCTTCAAAAATTATACATCTTTTCTTATTATATTATTTTCCTTTAATAAGTTAAAGCAAATTTTATAAAAAGTATCAAATATTTATTAATATATGTAATTATTATGCATGCAATGGTTACACACATAGAATTTTTACCTTTTACCAATGTTTAAAGTTATGGACACTTTAAGACAGTAAAACCAAAGTGTCCAGTCTAAAACCAGTTTAGGACATCCAAAACCCCAACCCTGATTATATATCTGCCAAATTCAGTAGATTTTACGAAATAATATAAATTTCATGACAATTGTTGAAAAATATATTAAATATTTTTCACATAGGGAATTTTAGAGATTATTATAATCATCAAAATAGAAAAGCTGCAATATTTTCCAGTTATGATTTCACATTAAATGATATTGAAATACAATGTATTATGCTTATTCATAATTTTGAATAATTAGTAATAGGCATTTAATTCATCAAAGATAGTTAACTGAATTCCAAATTGAGTCTCGCTTTATTACGTATGAGTGACACTTACACAATTTTAGGTAATTGTCTAAAATGTACGAAAACCAGGATAATTTTTATTAAACTAGTAGACCAAGAGAAACTGGCAAAATCCAGTAGTCTACTGAAAAATCCAGTAGAGTTGGCAGCTATGTGTTTATTTATTTAGAAGAAAGTAATGAAGAAAAAAACAATATTTAATATATTAATTTCAAAAGTTTCTATTTTACTTCAACGAAAATGTAATGTAGCACTTCTTATTATTATCTCTTTCCCCTTGTCACAAACAACAATTCTCAATAACATCTTCACCCTCAAAGCGCAAGATCAACCAATATGAAATATACTAATGATGTATACAGAAAAATCGTTAACTCAATTTTTCTTCTTCTTATAATGCAGGGTTGCCACAGATAAAAATGAACAAAATAGTTGCTTTTAGTAGCCTTAAACATGAAAATAGTAGCCAAAAACTAGGAAAATAGTTGCCTAAATAAGAACAAAAATTCATCAAAAATATGACTAAAATTTTGTTAATGACTTAATTGTCATGTACCATGATCCATTCAGTCAAGTAGGTGGCAAATATGATAATTTTTATATAAGCGTAAATGTTTATATATATGAAAAGTAATTACTCAAATTCGAAATTCAAGCACCCTAATATTGTATTAAATTATTTTATTATTTATTTTTTCTTTAAATCATGCGGAATTTTGTAGCAATAATCATTAAAAAGGCGATCGAGAACTGAAATAGACTTACAATGGAGTCTGTGCAGATTGAACGAATTAAAAAGTGAAAACTCAAATTTGCAATTCAAAATTTTTAATTTTTTATGAAAAAAAAAAAATGTTCAGTATGTTCAGATTGTAGGGTGCAGATTTTCCACTCAATTTATGCTTTAAAAAAAATATATAAAAACAAAAACATCACTAGGGGTTTAGAAAAGTCTCCTTTTCCTGAAAATAGTTGCTTTTTTAGCCTTTTCAGGCAAAAAAAGTTGCCATAGTCACCTTATGCCAAAACTAGTTGCAAATAGTTGCATTTTAGTCGCCTGTGGCAACCCTGATGGTACTAGATAAATTTAAGATATAAATATTGTAAGAAAAATAAGTACTATTTTAAAATTAAGTAACTTCAACAAAAAAAAGACTAGTACATTTAAATTAACATTGATTTCAAAATGATTACTGTCAATTTAGATTGAATTTTATTTGCTGGCTACTCCTAGTTTGCAACGCAGTAGATATTTCTTAATATAGCGGAGACATTGCGAATTTAAGTTTAGTTTGAAAGTAACAATGTGAACAGTTTTTAACATAACTAAATAGTTTTCATTATAAAAGAAAAGAAAGTAGTCTTCATTAAAAAGAAAAGAAAGTAGTCTTCATTAAAAAGAAAAGATAGTTTGTCTTTAGTAAGAACTCCCCCCGCCACAAAGTCTGAGGCCGTCTGCTGCTATGGAAACAAGAATAGTGCATTTCAGGGAGTTCTCTTCACTCTACCGCTAACAAAATAGCAGGGGTGATTGCGAGCCCAACTCAAAAATCCTGAAAACTTCTTGAGTAAAATCATTAATGATGCATTTCAAAAAATTAATGTCCTAATAAATTTAAATTAATGATATTTTCAAAACATGAAATTCTAAGTAAATCAAATGCAGCATAATTTAAATGGATAATTATGTATAAGTTTACTTTTATGTCTAATCACATTTATTATTATACCACAAAAAATATTTACAAATGAAAGAGATGCCAATCATAAATTCTAGTTCTAATATTTCTAAATAAAATATACAAGAATTTTTATTCACAAATGTGATTGATAATTTCTTGAAACTTTTGGACCTTGGATTTCTGAAAATTTCTGGATCACGGTCAGTGAAAAATACAGGTTTTTCCCTGAGCACAATCACATCTACAATAGACCGGAGAAAAAAAATACCCATTCTTTCACCGACTTGAGCCAAAACATGTCCTAAACAATGACCCCACACTCCTACTGGAAAAAGTTAAACCTCGTTACCATAGTCACCATCATGGGTCCAGACAAATGACTAGGAGAGTTCTTACTTTAGACAAACTATACTCAAACTATACTAACAAGATAAATGCAGTTAGTCTTGACAATTCAAATGTTATTTTGCATTATATATTAATTTATCATCATAATTTTCTATAAAACAGTCATTTATATCTTATAACAATTAAATGTATTATATTAATAAATATTTAACAAACAAAATGCACTTTGAGAAACTAAAAATACAAAAATCATAGAACATTTTTGAAAGAACAAAAAAAATTACCGTAATATAAATATTTAACAAGATAGCAATACAAATATTACAGTAAAACCTAAATTATCCATATAAATTATTATCTTTTTCATTTCAAATTATGTCACTTGTCTTTACAATGATTAATGAAAATAAATAAACTAAGTCTTTTCTTTTTAATAAAAATGTAAATTTTAACAAAATGAGAACACAATTTATTAGTCTTTTGCAGAGAAAAAAAAAATCTTTATTAATCACAAGTCAATATTTTTAAAACAAAACTGGAACCAGGATGTATACAACTTTTTTTTTTTTTATGTGAAAGTTGTTAAAATAAATTTTCGAACCCTTCTTTTTTCTAAATTTTTAATTTTTGCTTCATTAGGGATGCAAAACTTGTGGCTGGTTTTCCTACTAAAAATGAACCGTAAAAACCGTTTTTTATTTTTTAAAGGCGTAAGAAATTTTGTGTTTTTTTAATTCAGTTTCAATCTATTTTGAAAAATAAAAAGTAATAAAATTTCAAAATGTGCAGTTGTTAAAGATTTAAAACCACTGTCAGGTAGACTTTATTCTTTGCATTTTCATTTGCCAGGATATGTTATATATTTTAAATATTTATTTTATACATTATAAATATCTATTTAAAAATTAAAGATATAAATAACTTACATACGGTAAAAAATAAACAAAAAATTTTTTCCCAAAGAGAATTTTATTTTATTAAAGAAGTTACAAGAGTGCAAATACTACAATTCTTATTAACCTTTTGTTTAAGCCTGGTACAGCAATTCAACCAAAATTACAAGCTTCACAATGCTAAATGCTATAAGTAAAAGTTTAACTTAAAACCCTAAAATCAAAGAATCAATCGAGGATTAATTATTATTATATGATTATAAATATTAGTATGATTATATTATAATTAATCCTTGAATAGGATTAACTATTTGACCATTAATAATTATAGTTGTACCCTCAATTTTACAATTATAACAATTATTTTCTCTAACAGTAATTTGAGGTAACTTTGGTCATGGATAATTGAGGTTTTACCATTGTTAACAAATTGTACACAGATAGGAATGAATAAATGAAGATATGTTTTCTCAGGTAAAAACTATACTTAACATATCAGATGAGATGCACAGTAGTACCATCTTGCGTATGGCGACCACATCGAAGCAAATCATCATAGTTGGCGGGAACAGTCGTTTTATATGCTTCTTGAGATCCCATATCAGATCTGAAAGGAATAATATTTATTAGCAAAATATAAAATATATATTTTAATCAGGAGTAAAGAAAAACTCCATAATAGTTTGTCTATGGTAAGAACTCCCCCTGACACTAAGTCTGAGGCTGTATGCTGCTATGGAAACAAGAATGGCTCATTTCATGAAGTGTATTTTCTATTCACTCTAGGACTAACACAATACCAAACGGCAAAACAAACAATAATTGGCTTACCAAGAAATGTAAAGATTTCAGAATTAATATTTAAAAGCAGTTTTAATCTTAAACAGCCTCTAAAGTTAATTTTTGCTTAAAAACTTTATTAAGAAAAGCTATTTTCCTTAACAAAGCAGTGCGAATTTTAAGCACACGTGTTGAAAAACAAGTAAATATTTCAATATTGAATAAAAGAAATTATTTTAAGTTACTTTTTTGGTCATCCTACCTAATGTTAGTTAACATAACTTGTCCTAGACTTTATAAGTCCAAAATAGTCAAACAAATGTGAAAAATACTTTTTATCGACCATTGCAGTAAATTTTTACAACCTAGTTGTGCTTATGACCATTTCTTTTTACTTATAAGTAGTGTAAATTAATCTTAATAGTTTTCCAACAGATACCAAAAACGAATTAAGTGTCTACCAATAAACTAAGTACAGTTTGTCTACGGTAAGAATTCCCCCCACCACAAAGTCTGAGGATTGCAATGGAAATGCACATTTCATTCAAAGAAGTTTCTCTTCACTCTAGGGCTAACACAGTACACCCAAAGGAAAAGATTCAATTTCTCTCGCCGACCCGAGCCAAAACGATGACCTCACATCCCTACTTGAAATAGTAATACCTCGTTACCATAGTCACCGCCTCAGGTCCAGACGAGTGGCCAGGGGAGTTCTTACTTCAGACAAACTTTACTTTCTAGATTTTTAGGTTCAGATTTCCTGTTTTCACATTATTTTCTTAAATTTACTAATAAGTAAATGGCATTAAAACAGGGTGCATAGTCAGATTTTTCAACAAAAAATAAGTACCCTTTAAGTACTTTTTAAGCACTCAAAAAATATTTTTAATCACTCTCTAAAAAATCCATAATTAGTATCTCTGCAGTAATAAATTTTTTTTTTCTTCTATCGCTTCAAGTTCTTAATTTATAAACACAAAATCAGTTAAATTCAAAAACATTTTCAAAATCTTTACATAATCATGATAGAATAACTAGATTCTGATAAATATTGCAAAGAAAATAGTGAAAATCATGCATTTTATGTAATTTAGAGGGACAATCGACTCAGCAAAGAAAAAAAAATCTCTCATTAAAGCACAGAAAATGAAGCACTTTTGCAAATTAAGCACTTTTGCAAACACCTTTAAGGGCTTTTAAAAAACATAAATCAAAATTATACCATTTTTAAAAATGCTAAGCGCCCTGTAAAATATAATTATTTAATTGACTGTATTAAAATTATACTGAACCTTATTACAACACCCTGTTGAGGTCCTAATGTATTGAGCAAAGGCCGATGTGCTTGACCCAATGGAGGAGATTTCTGATATGATGCTTTTGTAATGCGATGATGACCACCAGACCTATGCATGGGTATATTATGGTGCATTCTGGTCTGAGAGGATTCAGTCGGAGACTGGGCGAATAAGCCTTGCGGAACCGGAAAATCTTGAAATGCTTGTTGTGATGGGGGGTGTATATGATAATGTTTATAATGGTACTGTTGAACATCGGAGGGGGGTACAGTATGGGTGGCAGAAAGCAAAGGGTTGCTAAGAGGATCATAACGAACTACCGCATTCGATGGAGTTGTATGAGATCCCTGAGATTGGCGCGTAGCACGATATGCCCTCGCCCGTTTCTTTTGCTTGCGACGGACGCAACACTGTATAGTTAGTAAAACAGTATTGACAGCACCGAGTAAAACACCTATATACACAAGTACTAGGAGCTCCCCATTTTGTACATGCATGACGGCCCCCGCAATGACGAGAGTCACGCCTGTCAAGATGGCGAGAATGAAAATTGCTTGTTGGAAATAGTAACACACTTCGTGAATGTTGCACTCGGTTGTGGAGGCAGATGATGTACCAGAAATAGCGGAAGAAGGAATGCGATCCGTGTGAGCGGACGTCGCTCCGCTCCTGCTCGAACCGGTCGTGCTGTGCAGTCTCTGTTGTTGCCGTATTTGTTGGCCATAATGAGGGTGGGGTGCAAAGGGTGGCGCTGCTGAAGCTCCACTGTAACTGCTTGGATTTGTATGCTGAGAAAAGACGCTGTGAGCCACTGGTACTGCAAGTCGCTCACGGTCTACATCAGACATGCTCTAGGCTATTAAGTAAATAAATTTTAACACTATTAGAATGTTTGAAAAATATATTTATTTTTAAATAATTGAAAACACTTAAATCAAACTGTTAGAAAATAAAATAAGAAATAAATTCGAGTCAATTTAAGCTTGAATTTCCTCATTTTAAAGCTATAACACACATTATAATATATATACATACAAAGTAACCTAGAGAGCCATATTATGAGCCCCTTAATTGACCTATAATTATTTCCTCTGGAAGGGTATACTAGAACCCTGTAATATAATACAGTGACCCAATTTGAGTATTATGGGTCAATATTAAGGGGAGATATAGAGACATGTAGTAATACTGTATATAGGTATGATCAGGGTGACCATGAGTTATACTCTTCTGCGATTTTATTTTAGTTTCTCACATGCTATTGCCCGGTCATTACCAAAATTTGGAAGGAAAAAAATCAATTATATTTAACAAGACAAGGCAATTTTATACAGTTTGAATTGTATGCACTTGTTAATATGTTGATGTTTTGTATTTAACATTAAGTTGCCATGCAAAAGAATACCATCAATGCTTAGTTGAACTTATAACTTTTTCGTTAAAATTATCACTTAATACGAATGATTTATACTCAAAATAAAAGTGTTGATATTGATACATTGTTAATGTCATTTTTTTAAACTTAATAGTAGGCACATTCATATATTTTAATTAATATGCATTCAAAAAAGATGTAAGAGCATAATATATATATATTTCTTTTGGACATGTATTATGAAAACTATAATGCTAAAAGGCATGTAAAAATTTTAAGGGTTTCAAGTGCCGGTATTTACAGACATTACTATGCCACTACTTTTCACTCTTTATAATTCGAATGAGAGAATTCTAATTTACAAATTATGTAGAAAAATGCAAAAAATTGTAAATATTTAATACCTGAAATGATAGACTAACTTCTTAAGCATTGAAAAGTATGAAATAAAATCAAACAAAAAAAGGTATAAGTATTGAAAAAGAAAACTAGCAATAGCAAACTCAATATTTTTCTTATTTTTTAACATGAAATAATGCAAGCAACAAACAATAGCATATGGGAAACTCATATGTTTAAGAGGATGCAAAAAAAACACATTACCATAATTCCTAAATTTAGTATCTATACACGGTATCTGCTACATTTTAGATTTCCAAATTCATGACTTTCCATGACTAATTCCAAAAGTTACTATTTTCTCCGACAAAATCACAACAATAAATTTAAAAAAGCTTTATGATAACAGTCATTGGAATGGTAGGTATAACCATAACTGTTATATTTTGCATCTTCATATTTATATATTTTAAATTTAAAAAACAGAGTAAAGAAAGAGTCGAGGTAATAAAATAGCTGAAAAAAATACAAAAGCAAATAATTTTTCCCCCTGCAGAATCACATTCTAAAGATACTTTTCTTGTTCATCAGAACAGAAAGAAATGCTCCTGATTTTTCTGTTCTCATTTCGGAATAAAAAAATTCGCCAATGACTGGCTTGCTTAAGCTAAAATTTTAAATTGATAAAATAAAAAAAATTCTGAAATCACAGAAGTTTAAAAGATAATTCGCTTCAGAAATTATGTTTTTTCTTTCATTTTTGAAAGAACACCATACTTTTTAAAGAACACGATAAAAACATTTTATATTTTAATCAAATATGACTGAGTGAATTTTGTTACAAATTCAGATATTCAGAACACCATGAAATTGGGGGGTGGGGGTAAATTCCATTTTAAAAATTTGATTTTCGGAAACCTAAATCCATGACTTTTCAAGATTATTTTTAAAAAAATAGTTAAAATTATGACAAATTTTCTTCAATAACGAAAATCATGACTTTCAAGGTACTCGGATACCCTGTCTATATTAATAAGTACCTTTTACCCCTGCTCACATTAGAGTAAAATTCTAATCACACTTAATTTTAAGCATCAATTATTGATTATAAATTTTTTTTACAATTCCTCAAAGTGGATAAGTACTGAATACGGCAGTGGCGTATAAAAAAGGCGGGTTTCGATTCCTGACCATGCCTTTGAGGGTTCAGTTTCTATTAATAATTAAAATCAGTGTTCTCCTTAAGCATTTTTTGAAGGTCAGCTCTCCTTGCCAGTCCATTGATCCTTAAAAAAGCGCCATGTTGCCCTTATTGTAAAAATAAGCTACTATCTCTTAAAAACAGGGTTAGGGTTTTGGAACATCCTAAACATGTTTTGGGCAGGACATGTGGGTTTTTCTGTTAAACTGGCAAAAAATGTCCTAAATTGTCTTAAAGTGTCCAAAACTTTGAACACTGGTGAAAGGTAAAAATTCTATGTATGTAACCATTGTACACATAATAATTACATATATTAATAAATATTTCATACTTTTATAAAATTTGCTTTAACTTATTAAAGAAAAGTAATATAACGGGAAAAAGTTTATAACTTTTGAAGCTCCACAATTAAATGAACAACAAAAGTGAATACCTTATCCTTTAAATACTGATAAATTATCATTTTACATAAAGATAAATAATGAAATATTAAAAATAATATGTTCAAACATTAACCTTTTATTTTTCAAAATTTTTTTTTTAAATTGTGACATAATTCGAATTAAAGGGTTTTGAAGAGGACGGTTTAAACCGTAGATTAATCTATTCTGCCCTGAGCCTTGCCAACTCTGCTTAAAAACAATGTCAATACGAATGTGCAAACAATATTTGCACACTCATAAAATTATCTGTGTTTATACAAATTTATGCAGAGATTGTCTTTTAGCATGTCTTTAATAAACTACAAATTTTCTCTAATTATTAAAATGAGAAACAAAAAAATTAAATAGTATAAGGAGGTAATTTAAAAAATGCTGAGGATCAAATTCAGTTATTACATAATATTACACATTTTTATAAATTTTTACAGTGCTTAGTGATTGCTCTTTCAAAATTCAAAGTGCTCTTTTCTGAGGAGATTATATTTTTAATTAATTTAATATTTGAGAATATTTCCATATCGTAATCTGTCACGCCAACTACAATCGGCAAATAAATTTTAAACTTGCAATTTTTTTTTAAAAAAAATGCAGATGTTTGTCGAGGGGTGGTTACAAATTACACCCTTCGAGTTGGTCCCTTTTTGTGATGTTTTTTTTTCATTTCTCAGGGGCCTCTGCCTGGAAGTTGCCAGGACTTGGCAATTATTCCGATACAAAAATCTCCCCTAATAATTATTAATAAGGATGAACAATTATAAGATTTATAATTCAAATGGGGAAGAAAACTTACAATGAAAATATAAGAGATCGTAAAGTTCCTGATCATTAAAGGAATATCCTTTAATTTATCATTGTATATTAGGATAGTTAAAATAATATAGTTTCAGACTATTTAATTACATTTATTAATCATGTGATAAAACGGCCTGACTGCAATACGAAACAACTTTTTTTCATTGTATATAGAGATACTAATCTTAAATAAACTTTAATTTTAAATAACCATATTAAATTATAACTTTAAGAAATTTTTTATAAATTAAATATGATATGTATCATAAAGCATAATGTATGAGCCTGATAGATATTATATTAAAGGAAAAATTCTTATGTATACGGAAAGAAAAATATTCTTCAGTTTTATTGACTAAAGGTTTCAACAAACCTCAAAGACTTAACGCACATTCTACCATCATTAGTTACTATCATGAAGTTTACGGTCATAAGATGCGAAAAAATATTGAAACTTTTTCAATAATGCATAACTATTTAAGGCAAATCATCTTTACAGATTGAACATATTCATAATTTATATAAAATAATATCTTCATTAACTTTCCAAGATCTCATATGCTGCACCCTCTTCTCCAAAATTTCGATTTGACGGGTTACTAAACTCCAAACAGACAGACAGACAGAATGCGCGGCTTGAATTGAGTTCAAAACCAAAACAACTAAATACGAGAAATTAAATTAATTTCAAATACAGAAAATATTTCGATATAATAAACTAAAAGTAAATAAAGTCTATCAAAGTAAATATGAAAACGAATTTCGATTAAAAAAACGGACACCAGCTATATTAAAGATTATAAGCGAAATTACTAAGCCACCCAAGCTTGTTATTGCAAAGAGAAGGAAATCAACTTTAACTTCCACTCTTGATTCCATATAAAAATAAAAATAATAAAAAATTCTTATTGCTTGTAAACAATATTTACAATAGTTAATTAACGTGCTGAATTTTGGAGGTGAATTTCTTAAGCATTTCTTATTTTACAATTCGAGTGTTGGAATTATATGTTTCTGATTCATTCGATTTGTTTTGCTTTTGTATGTGAACGGAAGAAAAGAAATCAAAGTGTATGTTATAAAACAAATTTCTCCTTCATGGATCTATAATTGCTAATTCGAACTTTCTCTGTTATATGAATGTTTAAAAATCTAATGAACACGTTGTTATAGAGGGGATATTTCCGTATCGTGATCTGTTGCGCCAACTGTAATCGCTAAGGTGACAAATAGATTTTAAACTTGCAATTTTTAAGAAGAAAAAAAACCCATGTAGATGCTTGCCTGGGGGTGGTTACGAGTTATACTTTTCGAGTTGGTCCCTTTCCGTGATGTTCTTTTTAGTTTCTCGCGGGCCGCTGCCCTGAAGTTGCCAAGATTTTGCGATTATTCTGCAGCAGATCAGGAAAATTGCACAAAAGAAATGTTTTTCTTCCCCTCTCAAAATACTCTTTTTTTTTCGATCTCTAATTTATCAATGATAATTGGGAACTATATGAATCGTTTCATTTTGATATAAAGTTTCACTTTACTAATGATAATATGTATTTCAAAATAACTGAATAATTAGAAAACATTTTATTTAGTTGTGAAATAATTAATATAAGTTCACGTATGTATGCTAAGTAATATATACAAGTTTTCCTAGTTATATTTTAAAAAATGTTTTGTATACAGTGTTTTCATTGCAGAAAAAAAAAATAGAAGATAATTTCTCACCCTTTCGCAAAAACAGGGTGAGATTTCAAAAAGTAAAGTGAGATTTCTAAAAATTTAAAAAAAGCACGAATAGACTTGGAAAAAAAATTTTCTTTAATTTATTATACATTTATAACATTTTCTAATTTCTGAACCATTGAATATTTTCATTGCATATGGAAAATGTTTCATATCTTCTTTTTCATCAGCTATTCTCATTAGATTTGTCAAACATCATCAGTCAATCCGTTGAGATATTTTATTTTAATTCGGTTTTGGGTGCTAAATGACCTTGCAACAGATGCTGAACTATTTGTAATCACTAATTAAATTTGTAGCATTGTGCACACACTTTCCTATCCTCTACATCTGCCAGCATAGGCTTTTGAATTATTTCTGTTACAGAATAGTGAAGTTCGTTAAAGTTAATTCCATGTTCATACTTCTTGTTAGGTCTTTCAGCATAGCTTTCACAGACTTCAATTTTTACAAATTGCTGTCAATGAGGGAGTTTGGTAATTCATTAACAGCTAAAGATAGAGCTAACTTTAAACAACTTATTAAACAAGACAAAAAAATTTTTCTCAACACTTGCCGTAGCTGTTCTCATGTCTTTTTCAAAATGGCGTAAGGCGAAATTTTGTTCAAAATTCGAGAGATTCCCACATTTTAAAATTGATTAATAGAGTGCGCAAACTTCTCTCATTAATAATTTTTTAATGCGAAAAAAGTAAACATATGCGAGATTCTCGTGTTCTCGCCCTGTAGTGAAAGCACTGAGTATACAACCACCCCAAGTTGGTTGAATAGCTTAACGAGAGATATGAACGTATTTTGGGGAGTAGAATTTTAAAATGGGATATCATTCCAATTCTTTGGTTACCTACAGTAGAAAGCTTTTATATTTATTTAATTATCTTTATTAATTTTGTTTCGACAACATGCCAACTAAGTTATCTATTTTTACTCCCATCGTATTCCTTTTGCTTTCCATTATCAGGAGTCTGTTTAGAAGAAATTTGGGTCCGTTAATGGACCCTTCATAAAATATCTTTCATAAAAGCAGACCCTTCATAAAATATTTAAACTTCAAAACGGACCCTTCACAAAATAATTTAGCTTTTAATCGGACCCTTCACAAAATAATTTATCTTTTAATCGCACCCTTCACAAATTTATTTATCTTCATTATTGTTTTGTTAATTGAATGAACCAGATACCCGTTCTCTGTGTGAACCCAAGGAGGGGGGGGGGAGCAGGGTTGGCAGGTTTTTGACACGTGACAGTTTTTGACAGTTTAAACCGTCACGTCAAAAACCTCACTGTCAAAAATGTCGGAAATGTCAAAAACCTATATTCATATGTGAAATTTAATTAATACATAAAATTTATATATTTTTTATAAAGGATAGTGTTTCTAAATATGTTCTAGAAAAAATAAATTTAAAATTTTGAAGAAACACTTATATTTTGAATAGTAACCAAAATCTTGTACTTTTGAAAGCTCACATCTTTTGTAATATTATGTATTCATTTTCATGTGTTATTGAAAATCTGCAGTGATATTATTAAGAAATTTATTTATAACCAAATTTAGTGTATAGTATAGATTATACTAAAAATTAGACATTTTTAAAGATAAACATTAGCAGTTTTGTACATTAGACATCTTTTAAAGAAAAATCTTTTTAATATTCTTTTAAATCTTCTTAATAATCTTTTTAACATAAGACAATACAAATTTAAGTGCTTTCTGTTAAATACACAGAGTAGTTAGTGTCGATTTACAGTATATTCAGCCTATTCATTTACTATGCTGAAAATTTAGTTTATCCAAATACTTGTGAATTTCATTTTGCTGAATACTATATAGTTTTGTTGAATATCTAAATATTCAGCTGTTGAATAATTACTTCTTGCTTTCAAGATATGCATTATTTGTATTCTTAATACAAGTGGGGGAAAAAAATAAGAAGGTAAAAATTGTTTTAAAATGATAAGTGTAATAATTATAAATAAATATAATAAACAATATGAATTATATTTATCATTATTCACAAATATAACTACTTTTAAATTCAAATTAACATACTGGATAATAAAGATATTCGGTATAACATTAAAAAAAAATTTTTATACACTTGTATCTTATATCAAGTTTGTATTTATACAACATAACTTGTAAGTTCCTTATAAATATTAGTTATATGTTCCTTATATGTCAAAAATGCATAGTAATAAACTTTTAATTTTCTTAAGTATCAAAAAAAAAATTTTTTTTTTCAAAATATAAATATTTAAAAAAAATTTGTGCAAAATTTTTCTGCACATGCATTTGAATATAAATTTCTGAGATTTTAAATCTGTTATTTTACCTTAATTTTAATTAAAAAATATTTTAAAACCTGCTGATTACCTTTAGTATAATTAAATTTCAATATAATGCATGGCAACCGTTGGTAGTTTTGAAGTTTATATATTTTCTTGACAAACTTCAGTTTTTGACGGTTTAAACCAGTATTATACCCTTGTCATGTCAAAAACCACTTTTTGACGTCAAAATCCCAACTCTGGGGGGAAGAAAGGCAAATGTAAATACACTAAGTTTTGTCTTCAGCAGACGCTTCTTCCTTTATTCGTCTGAAAAGAATATTCTGCTTTCAGCAGTATAGGCTAAATACCAAATATTTGTATGTTGCATCTCTAATTTAGAAGCAGCAATTGCTGTTTATTTTTTTAAATTATAATTTTACAGTGCTCAGCATGTCTTTACAATTTAAAAACTCCTTGAAGAAGTTTTTTGCAATAACCGGACCCTATTTGCACAAATTCATGAAAGCAGGACCCTGGTTGAAAGAACGTGAATTAACATTTATTTTATGTTCACAAATTACGAGTAATTTTTTCACAAATTTTACAAAAATAGGACCTTTCAAAAAATGTCTGGACAGACCCCTGCTTTTAAAAAATGGTGACCACTCACAGTGCAATCTATAGCATATTTAAGGATAATATTTCAGCTATACTAAACTATTTAATTTGCTATAGCATTATTTGTTTTAAATATGTTCAGCTGTACCTTTTTCTCGAAGTTTCTCCGGTAATTAAATTTAGTATAGTTAGAACAATATAGCTCACGCAAAAGCACAGTGATAGTGTCTTTCCTCTTAATTGTATAATCCGTACAGGGAAAACTCAGGGATTTTTTTTTATTCCTGATTAGAGTGACAACCCTGTAATGATTCATGTTTAGTTTATGCATATGTTATTCTTAATTCTTTCTCTCTATTTTTTCAGATTGTATCCAAGAAAATATAAATAAAAGTCTATTTTTAGAAGTATGAAATTATCTTCTCTTACATGGATATTGAAATTTTACTTAACACTATTATGATAGATGCAAGTATGTATGAAATTTAATCGTTCAAATTACTGCATATTCTAAGTATTTTATACAAAATTGATAATGTAGATACTTCTCCTAGAAATTACTTTTAACAAGTTTCTTTAAATGAAAAATGACTTGCAAGTGGCTAAAAAAACCACTTGCATCTCTTCTCTTATTTGTTATTTATTGTAATAGTAAAATAGTATTTAATGATACAATAAAGTTGGCTAGAAAAATATCCTATCAAATGAAAAATAATAATAATAAATAATTATCCCTCTAAATATTAAAAAAAAAAAATGACCCCTAAAACAATCAGAAATATTCCTTAAATATCTAATTTACAGTTTCAAAACTACATAAAATAATTTAAAAAAATATCCTCCCCCAGAAAATAGTTATCAGAGCTTGCCTCCTTTGACCTTTTATCCCCTTCCAGTGGGCACATCTGTTCATTATGAGCAGATGTGCCCACGGGAGAGGCAAAAAGTTGCTTTATAGTTGCTATGACATAGCAACTATAAAGAAATTTTCTCAAATTCCATTTTGTTCAGAAGAATAACGTTAGTTCATTTGATATTTATTCCTAAAGAAGTTAAGAGTTTTTTAAACTCATTTACACAGAATTCCTTACCTTGATCTGTACAAACAGTTTTTAATTTTATCATTAACTCTCTCTCAAATTATCAATAAGCTTAAAATTATAGCAAAATGTAGGGATGTCCACTTTCAGTGCATCCCCTCCCATGTTAACATCCCTGGAAATGAAGTCACAGATAACTTAGCTAAAAGAGGCTGCTCTGTGTTGGTGACCACTGATTATGCTCTTACCTATCAAGATATTTTCTCTTTGATAAAATTTAAAGATTAGCAGGTCTGGCTGGACCATCCCGCGATTAGTAGGAAATGCCCGGGGGGCCCTCTGAAGTTCAAGGGAGACAGAAAACATCAAACGGCTGTCTCGAGACTTATAAGTGGGCACCTGAAATGCATGACTTTTGAATCCGGCCAAAAGGTCTACCAGACTTACATGAAGTGTTATCTGTTACTGGCTTCCCCTGGACATATCCTCGATTGATTAGGGTTAGCTCAGGAAGATGTACATGCAAGTCCACTTCTGGTGCTGGACTTTGCTGGGGTAAATGGTCTCATGGATCTGATCTAGCTGTTGCTAGATCCAGAAGGATTGGACACAACAACATTTAACTCTCTCTCTCTCTGTTATTTAACTGAATAAACTTTAAAACAATTTAATACGTATGATTTAAGTTCGATTGTGTGAACATAAATTTTTGTTAAAAAAATTGTCTATTACTGATCGAAAATGTGAATTTCCACCATGAGATTCATAGAGTGTAGGTCCCCATGCATCACAATGTACAGTGCGTAAATAAATAAATGGACCACCCCGTATAACTTTTGATCTAATGATTGGATTTTCACGTTTTAGGACTCAATCTTAATGGTTTGAGGTAGTGCAGTCTTAATGGTTAATGGTAGTGCATACAATATTTTAAGTTATGAAATCAGACACAAAAACATACTTTTTCTGAATACACATACCTATTTTTTTCTCTCCCATGTATTTGGACTATGGTCCCCATATTTTGATCAGGAGAGTGGTTCAAAATTTCAACCCCTTGATTTAAATTTACTTTTTGTGTATTTCATTATACCTTTAAGCGAATTGAAAACTTCTTGGGTACAGTTATAAAATTAGTTAATTCAAAAATAATTCCATGTTGCAAATAACTTTAAATATTTATTATTATAATTATTAAATAAATATTTATTATTTTTTATTAATTCATTTAATAATAGTCGAAAAAATTTGTATTGTAAGACATAAAATTTTTTATGTCATTTTAACGAATGTAATTTTGCATAGTAAAAGACAAAATTTGAACAAAGTCGGTTGAATAGTTCTTGAGAAATCAATATACGATTTTTTCTTCAAAATTGGATTTCTCAGGATCTATTCAACCTTAAGTTTTATATTTTGCTATGTAAAATAACATTCTTTAAAATGATATAAAATTTTATATCTTACAATTCAAAATTGTTTTGTTGACAATTATTAAGTAAATTAATAAAAAATTATAAATAGTTTTCATAATTGTGTGCAAAAAATTTTCAATTCACTTAAAAATTTCTTGAGATCAAAATATAGCAAAAAGTAAAATTATCATTAAGGCGTCCAAACTGTGGACTGATCTCCTGACCAAACTATGGTGACCATAATTCCCCGAATGCTGCTACCCCCTACATTTTGGGGCTCAGAAATCCGAATCCGTTGAAGAAACGGTATGTTTATTCAGAGAAAGTATGTTTTTGTGTCTGATTTCGTAACTTGTATTTGAAGTCAATCCCTCAAACCATTGAGTGCCACTAAGGTCAAATCAAAAAAGTTTGATGGTTTATGTTGGTTTCAGTGCGATTCATGATGGTCCACCATTTTCCATTATGCATTCATGATTTTAGATGTGCCAGCAAACTTCCATCACTCCATGATGGAAATGCTACTTTAATACTATGATGGCTAACCGTCAAGAGAAGTTTGATTCTCAAGAGCTAACAATCCATGATGGTCCCAACAAAACATTTCTATGATGGTTCATTGGAAATTCTTGTTGATTCATAGGAATAAACCATCAAAACTATTTGTTTGTTTTTTTATGTTGGGTCATCAGATGATGGTTCATGATCATCCAACATTTGATTTCTAAGAAACTATGATGAAAATTTCTGATGATTGAACATAAACAAACCATCAAAAAATGATGCTATTCTTATGTCGGACTTTCATAAATCAGTCTGAATTCCTACTTTGGGGTGATGGTTACTTATGATGGTTACCATCAAAAATATAATGGTTCATGATGGAATTATTGATGGTTATCATTAGTGATGCAAGGGATCTTAATTTGGCCGGATACCGGATATCCGGTCAATCTTTGAGCCGGATATCAGGTATCTGGCCACAATACTTTTTTTTAAAATAAGTATTGATGAAACAATTCCTCAGATCGATTATTACTTTATTCTAATATTTGTCTTTAATATAACTGCCAACCATTCAGATCTTTTCTCAATTTTTTAAATCAAGTGAAACTAGAATTTTTTTTTTAAATGAAATTAGTTATTTATTAGTTAACATTTATATGTTTTTATTTGTTTTTGATTTTACTTCATTTTATTTTGAAAATCAAAGAGGTTGGCTATTATATAATTATAATATAATAAATATGTATATCTGATATGTATATCTGTACAGTAAATATATTCTGTTGTAATTTTATACCNATTTATCGAATTTCGTTCCGGTTTTTTGGTTTTCCGGTTTTCTGATTTCCGGATAACGGGTTCTGTACTGTACTACATACTATGTTATATTACATAACTTTCAAAATACTAACATACTTTAAGGATATTTATATCAATGGTTAGTATAACATAGCTGTTGTAGGCATGACCGAGATAAAAACTAAAACCTAATGCATATTTTAAGTATAATTTCTTTATTTTATAAACACTATAAGTATAAAAAAAAGTATATTTGAAAAGAATGTTGATTTTTATGTTAAAATTACATTTTCTACCATCATTGTGATGAATTATATATATATATATATATTTCATTTTTACCTTTCTACTCAATATTTTATTTTGAGCCAAATGTTACTGCCGGATAATCATAATATCCGGCCTACTAGCCGGATAGAAACTGCCTGCCGGATATCCGTTGCATCTCTAGTTATCATCAAGATTATGCTGGTCCATCAGCAGAAAACCATAAAAAATTTTGACTTAGGGAATTCTTTTTTGAGAGTAAAAGAAAGTTGTGCATGTACCCTTATTCTAAAAGCCTTATATTTTTAAGTATTTCTCTTTTATCTGTGACTTAAAAGTATGGTGTTTAATTGACATGTTTTGTTTCAGAAGGATCTAAAAGTAATATAGCTGCTAGATTCCAAAATGCCATTACCCACAACGTTCTTCCTCCCATTGGGGTGTTTTGGGACATTGAAAACTGCCAGGTTCCAAAAGGAAAGTCCGCTATTGTACTTGCCCAGAACATTAGGGAGAAATTTTTCACCAAGCATCGTGAGGCAGAGTTTATGTGTGTCTGTGATATTAATAAAGAGAGTAAATATGTTATCCAAGAATTGCTTTATGCACAGGTAATTTTCTTTCATGTTTTAATTAATAAAGTATCTTAGAATAGCTTTTCCAGTTGATTACTGGATTTTGCCAGTTTCTCCTGGATCGACTTGTTTAATTAAAATTCTCCTGGTTTTTGCACATTTTAGAAAATTCCCCAAAATTGAATGAGTTTCCTAAAAAAAAATCCCTATTGAAATAGGAGTTTAGTACAGATTATTCCTTGCTTGCTTGAATATTTAAATAAGTATTACTAATACACAATGAAGCGAACCTCATTTATTGAAATAAGTTTTAGAATGTTCAGTTTATTTTTATTCAGAACTCTCTTTTTATATTAATTAAACAAATTTTTTTTACTATCTTTGATGATTTAAATAAATATTAATATTCAAAATTATAAGAAAGTTGTTAATGTTGAAATGTTGAAAAAATTGTAATTGTTGATATTGTTATGTTTAATGTCAATCGTAACTGGAAAATAATACTGTCTTTCTATTTTAATGACTATAAAAATCCCTAAAATTTTCTATGCGTAAAATATTTAGTACATTATGCAACAATTATTATGAAATTTTATTGCTATGTTAAATCAACTGGATTTTTTCCTGTCCATGTTGTCTAAGGTTTTGTATTTGCATTGATTTAAAAACAAATGAATCTTCATATCAGCAAAATATTCTGTTCCTTTTTTCAGTCATGCTGGTTCACTTTTAACATAGAGAATCAGTATGGCGAATTTCTATTTAAGCTGGGTAAATATTACTTTCTAAAATAATCTTTTTCTTTTTGTATTTTTTCACATTGGAAAATATCGATTTCCAGTCGCAAAGCAAAATTACTTCATTCCATAGTGCTTTCATAATTTTGAAAATATGGTTTTTAAATAATAAATTTTTTTAATTATTTACTGAATACTTATTTTCTTTATCATTTTTTATTCTATTGTTTTCGTAGGCCATTAAGGCAAGCTATCTTCTTTTCTAGTGGTGCCATCTATGGCCAGGAATTCCACTTCTCGTACACCTGTTTACACGGTTCGGGTGGACCCATTTGTATATCCATTCATTCATTCATAGATCATAATATTGACCAGAACCAGAAAATTATTAAGTCTTCATTTCAGTACTCTGAGAGATATAATTTGTTGTGGGAACATAGAGGACTCTGTGACCCAAAAGATTTAACAAGCGCCAGTCACCCTTTACTTCACGGTCTATAGCCAGCTGGATTCGAGCCCCCATTCTAATGGACATGAGACCAACGCCCTGCCAACCAGCCTATCCCGACCCCATTCTACGTATTAAATACTATTAGTGTCGTATTCCTGAATTGAAAACTCTTGTTCACTCAGTCACGAAAAAATCACTTCTGATAGAAAATATTTTCATCCACAATAATTTAACTTTCAGTTGTATGCTGTAATTAATCATTTCACTCATAGATTACAAATTAAAAACATTTTTTTCATAAATCTTTTATTTATGTCAAAAAACTAGTATGGCTTAATGAAAATACTTTTAAATTTATGTTAAAACATAGGTAAGTGATAAAAGTTATTATTTTCAATCTTTAAAGTGTTAATGAAAGCTCTATTTTTTAAAATAACAAGAAGTTTTGAATGTTTGTCGAATGCAGATACGCGAAAAGGGTAGTAAAAGAATAAAGGACTTACCTTAGAAGTATGGTACCAATTCTTCTTTTTATAAAATGCCATATTCTTAAATCACAAAGAATGGTAAATTGCACACAGTGTTTTTTTAAGTAAAATATTGATTAATTGTCTACACAATAATTTCTGATCTGAATTAATCTTACCTATGCATTTTGTTTTAACCATATTTTTTTTCATTTCCTCGATAACGGGAATGTCAAGATGTATTTCTTAAAGACTCTTCAATTGCTCTGTTACTCTCTTTCCTTGAAATGACACCCAGTCCCCTAAATGCTAATTCAGTCATAAAAATAGTTCTGCTTGTGCAACACCATGATATACAGCAAATGTAAAGCTCCGCACACCTATACTCCACATCCTTAAAGACTTCTTGCATTACAGTGTCTGGCAAAACTCAATTCTACCTTGAAACTCATAACAAAATAAAATCCCGAGAAATGGTGATTAACTTTCGCTTTGACAAAAAAAGAATAGTCGGTTTTTAATAGAAAAAAACTCACAGGAAAACGCTGCAGCATAAACAAATGAGGAAGCGTTGAAACTCTGAGAAGGAAAAAATAACGTATGAAAATCTCTATGGTATTCTATCAATAAGCAACTAGGTGAGCAACCAAAAGAAAAAAATGGTTGCTAACTTGTAACCTTGGATATGTCGCAGAATGTTCTAAATCCAAGTGTTCAAGTTGGAAACTATTGACAGTCATTGGTAGCAAAATAGAGATTATTAACTGCATCCTATGCTTCATGGTATTTTATAACAAAAGGGATAGGCAGGCAGGGTTAGTGGAGAAAATTAAAAATTTATTTTTAAATTACATAATAATAGCCCCCTTATAATGCTTCTGTTAAAAAAATGAAGTTCCTTAATTTCATTACAATATACAGTAGAGAACCATTTATCCGGTATCCAGATAACCGGAAAACATGGAAAAAATTTTCGCAGTTTTCCCGCCATTTTAAACTAGAACGATTATGAAGAAGAAAAAAAAGCAGAAATTGGACTCATCCTTGAAGTTGAGTAGTGGAAATGTAAGGAAGGGGAGCATTTTTTCCCCCGCTTACCCAGAGAAACATCATTTCCTCCTTGACCTTGAAGATCGAGAGGAGACAGGGAAGGAAGGAATGTGTTTTTTTCTCCTTTAGGCCGTCAATCAAACTCAAGGGTGTGGCATGCTGATTTCATTTTCTGTTTGATTTACGAGGGGGGTGGGGAAAATGCATTGCATGCATATCAGTGAACAGAAGATGAAAGAGAAAAATATATTTATCTATTTGACATCGATTAATAAAAATAAAATCTTTTTCTTTTGAATAAATTCTGATTCTTTGGAAGTGCGGTATCATTTGCAAGTTTTTCTTGATGTGGAATCACATCTGCTGTAATTAAAAATCATGTTTTTATCAATAAAAAAAATAAATAAATAAAAGGAGAAGTGGTAATTAATTAAAACATAGGATTATTTTATGAAGCAGATTGCAGTTTTGTTTTTCTGATTCCACTACGTTTGATTTTTTTTCTTTTCACGATAAATTTCTCACACAATAAATTATTTCTTTTTATTCATAAATTTTATGGTTAGTTTTTTTTTTTTAAATTCCGTTGATCTTGCCTTGTTCCGGGTTTTGATATTTATGCTAGTGCCTTTTTTAACTATCGTTTCGGTTTGATAATTTTCAAGTGTTTTTATTTAGATGAATAAGTTTTCCTTTTATTTTATCGCTTCCCCCGTATAGTTAGGTATGAAATATATTGCGTTATTTAATCATTGGTTTTGTTTATATTAGTTAATTTAGTAATTATTTTTAAAAAATAAATATGAGAATTTTGTATTTTTTAAACTTGTTTTTCTTGTCTAAACGTGCAAATTTTTTTATACTTTTAAATGTTATTTTTCTACCATTTTTTTTTTCTTTTTAAATTTAGGAGTGCCTTTCTTTTTTCTCTTACTTTATGCGTTACACTTTTTCCTTGTAATTCGGGTTCGATGAAACATAGATTAACGACACTTTTTGGTCGATCCAGAAAACCGGGAAATCCAGACATCCGGGATAGCGATGGTCCCGAGCATCCCAGATAATTGGTTCTCTACTGTATTTTATTTTATAACCGTCATTGAACAGTTGACCCATTTTTGGGGGGTTTACGACTGCTAATGTTGAACTCTGCAGCCTTATGATTTTGAACCCAATCCAGAAGGTAAGGGAACTCCTGGATCAAGTATTGGAAGAAATTTGCCTTCATGGAGGTTAGTTCCTTTTTAATGGAACTACTCCTCATTGGAGAGGAAAACCACTGAAACCTCCTATGGTTAGCCTGTTGGCAAGGGGACACTAACCTATGATCGGTCTACCACTGAGGATATTTCACGTCAACTCTGTAGTAGGTGCAAGCCGGATGCAGAATTTGTGCCAACCAGTCATCAACCAGTTCACCTCTTTGGAAGGCGAACACTCTCCACCCTGAGCCACCACGACTTTTACAATGTATTTAATGTAATTGTAAAACATAAATTAGACCTAATTTTTAATAAAACGACTTGCCTATGAACTTTTACAAAATCATTAGTGTAGATTAGTCGATATTCATTATTTGATGCAACCTCTATTTTTACCATTGATCTATTAACTCTTCTAATATGATATTTACTCTTCTCATCTAATATGATGAGTATCTCAGAACCTGGAAAGTCATGAAAAATCATAGAAAGTCATGGATTTTGGTATTGAACAAAATTTGTCATGAAATGTCATAATTTTAACTATTTTTTAAAAAAAATTCATGGAAAGTCATGGGTTTAGATTGCCAAAAAATTTAATTTTTAAAATAGAATTTACCCCCCCCCTACCCCACCCAATTTCACAGTGTTCCAATGTTCCAAATGTCTAAGTTTGTAGCAAAATTCCCACTCATAATCATATTCTATTAAAATATAAAATGTTTTTATCTTGTTGTAATAAATGTATGAAGAAATAAAACAGCTTTAAATAACTACATATATCTGACAGTATTTAGTTATTTGCTTTTGTATTTTTTCAGCTATTTTATTGCTTGAACTCTTTCTTTACTCTGTTTTTTTTTTAAGTTTAAAATTAACAAATATGAAGATGCAGAGTATATCAGTTATGGTTATACCTACCATTTCAATTAATGTTATTATAATGCTTTTTTTAATGTATTGTTGTATTTTTGTCGGAAAAAATAGTAACTTCAGTAAGTCATAAAAAATTCTTGGAATTATTCGTGAAAAAGTCAAGTATATGAAAATCTAAAATGTAGCAGATACCCTGTATTTAAATAGAAGACAATTTGTTGTATAAATGAGAAATTATATATCAAATTATTAGTATTAAATAGAAGACTATTTGATGTTGATGTTAAAAATTTATTTTTTGTTAATGTTTGTAGGTGACAGTGGTTCACATTAGTGCAACTAGTAAGAATGCTGCAGACGATAAGCTGAAGCAGTGTATGAAGCGATATGTCGATACTCATGGCTCACCTTCTACTTTGCTACTCATATCAGGTAAATTATCTTACCTGTGTTCTCACTACAAGTCTTTTTTCCTCAAGTATCAAACTCTGTGGTAAACAATAACAGGTCTGAAATCATCTACACATGGTGCGTAGCATTCTTAAAAAGTGCTTAAAGGTGCTTATTTTCGATTTTCGTTTTTTTGAAAGCTCTTAAAGGTGCTTTTTTCATTGGGTGTTTTTGAAAAGTGCTTAATTTTCAAAAATGAGATTCTTTTTCGTCTTTATCATGTTGATTTTCGCCAGGTATGATGCAAAATTATGCTTTTTAAATATCTACGCAGTTGGACTCGGATTTAACTAATTCATAGGAACTGAAATTATTACTCCCTAAGAATTAAAGTCTATTCTACGAGCAATTTCTTTCCTTCTGAAGGATCAAATGAAAAGAGGACTTTGTCCTTTCCCCCTTTTGTCCCTATAAGATAATACGCCATGCAAATTATAAAGTTTATTATTTCTATCTGTACTGTTAAGCAAGGAAAAATTTTCTTTTTTTACATGCTTTACTAAATTAATGTATATATTTTTAAAAAAAAATTATATTGGAAATGTTAATTGATTGTTAAAAAAGTTTTCAATGAATTGCTTTAGTTACCTAAAAATATTATTATTTAACCTTTTTCTTTAAATAAACCGAAAAATTCCTGTTGAAACCAAATGAGCTTGGTTTAAACCAAATAAACCTGATTTAAGCAAGAACTCTTCTTTTTATATAAAATTTTTAATTATATGAAAAATAATTTGTAAAATTTTTTCTTTATAAAAACCTAATTTTTTTTTTACAACCCTGGTATTTAATTTTTCTTTTACACCAAGAAGCTGAGATATTTAATTTTTCCAAAAACTATTTAATTGTTCTGAAATTTAATTATTCCGAATAATAATGCTTGAAATGTAAGCAAATCTACTCCATTTTTCCGAAATTTGGACAAAGTTAAAGGATTTTTCCCATCTGCAAACAAAAGAGTATGTGGCTTCAAAAAAAGTGCAATTCACCTGCTTGTAGTTTTTGCTGGACTGAATTATGCGTCTGAAAGAAACTTGCCATGAAATAATTCTGAAATTAATGACTGTTTGAATAGTATTTGCAGCTCAGAATGTTCCTTAAGCCTTTTCCAAATAATATGAAACATTATACGTCTTTTCATTCAATAGTTTTTGTGGTATGAGATTGAGAAGCCAATGATTAAAGTTTTATGAAATAGCAATGGTAATAATGTGGCAATTTTTTTTCTTCTTAAGATATAGAGAGAGTGACTTGAAAATTACGAATTTTTTGCACTGGTTAAATGATTGACTTCTCTGATTTTAAATTGATTTTTAATCGTTCATTCCTTAGCAGACCTACAGATTGAGTAAAATCTTATGAACCCTGAGTCTGATAGTAGATTTTATTTTATAGCCGTCGTTAAACAGCCGACACAATTTTTTTGGTTTACGACTACTCGTAACTTTGTAATTTTGAATCCAATCCAGAACCAAGAGAACTCCTATATCAAGTATTGGGAAAAAGTTGCCTTTGTGGAGAACTTTTTATGGAACTAAACCGCAATTAGGTTACACGGAGAGGAAAATGCGAAAACCTCCCACCGTTAGCCTAACGGCAAGGGGACACTAACCCATGATCGGTCTACCATTGAGGATATTTTACGTCAGCACTGTAGTCAGTGTAAACTGGGTGCAGAATTCATATCGATCAGCCATGCATGGTTCCCACAAGTTAGGATGAACATGGGAAGCCTGGAATTGTCAGGGAATTTTATTTTAACTCCAAAAATCAGGAAATAGCCAGAGAAGCTGCAATTTTTTTGCAAAAACTTGGAATATTCCTACATCATATCTGGAAAATAACCAGTCTTAAAATTCTCAGTAACATTAATCAGTTGTTAAGATTCGTGTTAAATAATTCTAACATCTATTACAATTATTTGTTGTAAAAATTTCACATTTTAATCGAACTGAAATGCTCCCTTCCTCATTTCATAATATTTTTTTACACAGAAAATCTAATATTTCGCATTGCAAATAAAAGAATCAAAGTTTTCTGATGAAAATATGATCTTAATTTTCATTGAATTCACCTAGTATACCTGGATAACTCAGGGAATCTTTTTCTGAAATTGAGTGGGAACCCTGCCATGACTGGGATTTGAATCTGGTTCATATCATTGGAAAGCGAACACTCTATCCAAGGGATAGGCAAACTGTGACCAGCCGAAAGGTTTTATCCCTCTCGCGGATAGTATTTTAACATGCCAATCTGTGGTGAATATAAACAATATACATCCATTTTCTTCTCTACTTTGTTTAAAGTTATTTTTGTTCCTTCTTTTTTAACAAAGTACTGGTGACCTTTTTACTTTCTCTATTTTTGTTCTACAAAACATAAATTGATGAAAATAGCTAGCACAGACAGTTCGCTTGGTAAAATATTGAAAGCAGAAGTTCTTTATGGAATAGCCGTAGATTGGCGCCATTTGAAGCAGTTGTTTCTAAATATGGCAAAGTTTGAGTTTTACAAATAATTACCAAAAGCTAGTTTCCCAAATTTAATATTTCATGCCCAGATAATCAATACAATTGCTTCATCTTATATATGTGAACAAGTGTTTTCAACAATGAACCTTAGAAAAAATCATTTCAGAAATAGACTAACAGACAAAGATTTAGACTTGTTCCTTAAAATAAGTACATCTCACTTGGAACCTCAATATAAGGAACTTTTAAAAATGAAATTGCAATTTTATTCATCTCATTAAATATTTAAATTAAAACTTGTATATTGTTTTTATTTTTATTTTAGACGTTTTTTCTTAGACCACCGAACTTTTTGCCCTCGACCAAAAAATTTAATCCATCCCTGCTCTATCCCCTGAGCCGTCCCGACTTCAAATATTAGATTGTTGACTATTTTGGCAGCTATAGAAAGTTGTTACTGGGAGTATTATGTGATTACAGAAAAGCAAATTTTATTTTACCCTTTGACTATGAATTTTAAAAAATTATTTTTTTGTCTCGTTTATTTTTCAAAAGGACAAAATAGGTCACAAATAAGGCAAATTTAGTATTTTGGATTTTTCTGACAAGCGGTTATCAATTTAGAGGCTAGGACATATATGTCCTGGCCGTACTTAATGGTGGGATACATATGTCCATTAGTAATTTTTAAGCATTTGTTGGGACAAATAAGTCCCGTCAGTAGTCAAAGGGTTAATTCTAACTCGCCTTGCTTAAATGTTTTTTTTCCTCCTTCTTGTCATAATGAAATAGTCATAAATGGAAGCTTTGTGATAAATAATTTGTATTTCTGATTGTTATTTCAGATGATGTCAACTTTGCATCTGATCTGTCTGATTTCCGTCATCGTCATAACATAAGAATAATATTAATCCATCGAGGCCATGCTCATCAATCATTGTTAACGTGTGCTCATGAACAATATGATTTCTCCAGTATAACTCAAGATTTACCTACCAGAAGTCCCAGCAAAGTGAGTTAACTTTAGGTTAACTTTTTCAACTGACATATTTTCTCATGTTATTTTATTTTATATTGACCCAAGTCAACATTTTTTGTGGTTTTCCATTGATGGACTAACGTAGTCTTGATGATAATCATCAATAATTCCATCATGAACCATTATATTTTATTTTATAATCGTCGATGAACAGCTGACTCAATTTTGGGTTTAAGACTACTGATGTTTAACTTTGTAGCTTTGTAGTTTTGAACCTATTTAGAAGACAAGGCAACTCCTGGATCAATACCCCCAGAGGTATGATAACATGGAGGACTTTGAGACTCGACAGATTTAACGTGCACCAGTCACCATTTACTACACGGAGAGTCTTTGTTCGGCAGGGATCGAACCCACGACCTCTTGGACATAGGCCCTGTACCCTACCAACCAGGCTGTCCCTACCCCTATCATGAACTATTATATTTTTTGATGGTAACCAACATAAGTAACCATCACTCCAATGTAGGAATTCAGACTGCTTTATGATGGTTCAACATCAAAATAGCAACTGGTTTTGATGGTTTGTTCATGTTGAACTATCACGAATCTCCATCATAGTTTCTTAAAAATCAAATGTTGGTACGATCATGAACATAAAAAAAAAACAATGTTTTGATGGTTTATTCCTGAGAACCAACATCAGGGTTGCCACTCCATGGGGAAAACCTGGAAAATGCAGGGAATTGAACATGGGCAGGGGCCTGAACATGAATTCCCATTAGACCATCATAAAAGTGTATAGTTGGAATCATCATCGATTGNGTAAGCCCAATATAGCTCACACAGGAGCACAGTAATTGTTGTTTCCTCTTAATATATTGTGTATAATATGTACAGGGTTCCAGACTTGAGTGGCAACCCTGAACATGAATTCCCATTAGACCATCATAAAAGTGTATAGTTGGAATCATCATCGATTGTTAGTTCATGAGAATCAAAGTTCTCTTGATGGTTAACCATCATAGTGTATTAAAGCAGGGGTGATTGTGAGCCCAACTCAAAAATCCTGAAAATTTCTTGAGTAAAACCCCATAATGACGCATATAAAATAATTAATGTCTTTATAAATTTAAATCATTGATATTTTCACAGCGTAAAATTCAAAATAGATTATATGCAGCATAATTTAAATTAATAATTATGTATAGGTTTACTTTTATCTCTAATCACATTTACTATTCTACCAGAAAAAATATTTGCAAATGAAAGAGAGGCCAAGTATAAATTCTAGTTCTAATATTTTTAAATAAAATATACAAGAATTTTTATACATAAATGTGATGGATGATTTCTCGAAACTTCTGGACCTTGGATTTCCGAAAATTTCGCAATCGCAGTTAGCGAAAAATCTGGACTTTTTCCGGAGCACAACCATCCATGATTAAACCAGTATTTTCCATCATGGACTGATGGAAGTTTGTTGGCATATCAAAATCTATGAGCGCATAATGGAAAATGTTGAATGATGGTGACCATCAAATTTTATTCCATCATGAATAGCACTGAAACCAAAATAAGCCATCAAAATGTTTTGATGGAACCATCAAGAATTTTGACTTGGGAAGTAAGGGTTATTTCTGTGCTGTATATGAACAAAGCTATAAAAAAAACACGAAAAAAAAACATATATAAAATAAAACCGGCTTACCATCGTTTCGAAATTATAATGGAGCCCTTCCTTTACTGTCTGAACACAGTACGAAGGAAAATTTCACAATTAAATCTCTTTAGAAAATACTTCATAGAAATATGAAACGCCAATAAAACTTTAATTGCATCGACAATCTTCCTAATACTTCATATTTTAATTTTACAATACTTACAACTTTACTTAAAGCAAATTTTTCAAATTCATCACCACAACATCAAATATCGACTTCCAATTCAATCTTGCTTTATCTCACCCTTTTAAAGGGTGCAGAAAATTCTCAGGATCGTGAAAATTCCAGTTTTTTGTTTTAAATTTTCACCTAGCAAACACATTACACAGTAAAATTGATTTTATGCAATTCTTGAATAAACTAGCAAATGTGTTAAAAATTGCAGAAAATAAAATAAATTAAGATAGTAATAATTTATAAAATTAAATGTATAGTTTATCTAAAGTGAGAACTCCTCTGGTCATTTGTCCAGACCCTTGGTGGTGACTATGGTAACGAGGTAGAACTATTTCAAGTAGGGGTGTGGGATCATTGTTTAGGACTGGTTTTGGGATCGGTCTGAGAGAAAAAGGGGATATTTTTCTTCAGTCTGCTGTGTTAGCCCTAAAGTGAAGAGAAGCTACCCTCCCTGCTCTATTCTTGTTTCCATAGCAGCAGACGGCCTCAGACTTTGTGGCTGGTGGAGTTCTTATCGTAGACAAACTATTATGACCAACACATAAATTTAAGGAATTTAAACTAATGAATAAACAAATTGACATACAAAGTTATTTGTGTCATAACACTTTTAGTGACGCACTTTTTATTTAAATTCAACATTTTTTTTAAACATTTAATCAGACCGAAAGTTTTCTTAGTGCTGCTTGAATTTTCTCCTTATCTTAATTGCATGATCAGGTATATTTTGCCCCCTGCTCATTATTTGTTTTGTTTTTCACTGCCACAAGTCTAAAACAAACACAAGAGTATTATTTACTGTTGACAATAAAAGGAACTGAGCTGTGAATCAGGTTCGAATCCCAACAAAGACTGGTTGATACGAATTCCGCACCCGGCGCCCACCGACCACAGTACTCGCGTAAAATATCTTCAGTGGTAGACGGATCATGGGTTAGAATCTCCTTGCCGTGAGGATAACGGTGGGAGGTTTTCGTGGTTTTCCTCTCCATGTGAAGCAAATACGGGTTAGTTCCATTAAAAAAAGTCCTCTGTGAAAGCCAAATTTCTCCCAATATTTGATCCAGGAGTTCCCTTGTCTTCTGTATTGGGTTCAAAATGACAAGGCTACGGAGTTGAACATTAGTAGTCGTAAGTTAACCAAAAAAATTGGGTTGGTTGCTTAACGGCGGTTATAAAATCAAATAAAAAAAAACTCGTCAAAAATAGCAGCAAAAGGAAAATAACGCTGTTTCAAAAATGTAATCAAAAGTTGTCATTTTAAGTTTTGTGGTAAAAAATTATTCAGATGTTTGTTTTTTTTTTACTTTTTTATTTATTTATGAATATTTTATGTCTATATATTTTTTCATATTTTTACTCATTTATTTATTTATTCATATTTTTCTTTAAGTTTCATTATTTTGATATAAAATTTATCGTTCTATTTTTCTTTCCAGTCTGTCTCTAGTCGTCCTACTGAAATAGAAGTAACAGACCTTCCTCTTAATCGAAAAGAAGTACAAATAAGAAATAAATTAAGAAAATTATCCACCAACTGTGGTGGAAAAGTTCTTTTCATAACAGGAAGTAAAGCAGTCATAAGATTTGCCAATGCAGATGCAGCTGAAAAGTTAGTGTTTCCTTCCCTTCTTTTTTTTAAAAATTTCTAACTCAATGATATAAATTTTTTTGTAACGTTGGAATTTTTAAACAAAAATAATGTACATTTTCTTCATTATTTTGTCCAAAATTTTAATAGAAATGAATACCTGCCAGGTCTCTTGTTTTTTAACGAAGGCTCCTGTATTTTACGACTATCTACTATTTACCTGTATTTTCTCAAAATTCTCCGTATTAGTTGAAGAAATTAAAAAAAAAATTGGGGATAAACTATCTACTGATGGCGAAAATACTTCTCTTATTCCTCAACCGAAGGTGCTTTTGCCTGTACTGCAGTATGTTGAGTTTTAATAGTTTAAGTCAAGCCGTGATGGTTCAGGGGTTAGAGCGTTCGCCTTCCAATGTGGTGAACCTAGGTTAAAATCCCAGGAATGACTGGTCGTTACGAATTACTCATCCGACTTGCACTGACCACAATGCTGACGTGAAATATCTTCAGTGGTAGACGATCACAAGTTAGAGTCACCTTGTTGTCATGCTAACCTAGGATTTTCGTGGTTTTCCTCTCCACATAACTCAAATGCATGCTAATTCCATAATAAAGTCCTCCACAAAGCAAATTTCTCCCAATATTTGATCTAGGACTTCCCCTGTCTTCTGGATTGGGTTTAAAATGACAAGGCTACGGAGTTGAACATCAATAGTCGTAAACCCCAAATGGGCTCGGTTAGTAAAAGATCCATTATTTTATTTCTCCAATGTTGGCAGGTATGGAAATGATATCAATAAATAATTTATAATTATTTATTTTGATGCTTTGATCCTATTTTTAATGATTATATATAAATTTTATGCTATAAATAATTTTCTTTCTTACTGATTGTTCTTGTCATGTTTAATAATATTGTATATAAGTATGCAATGAATTACGATTTTCGTTTGTCTATTTCGTCCTTTTTTTTTCAGACTTAAAAATTTTTGTAATATAGTAATTATGGATGTATTGAACTTAATTTTAGAAGGATAAGATAACAAATTCAGTATAATTTGATGTTCAAATGCGTGCTACCTAGTAGTTGTTTTAGTTTTTTTTAAATATGGGTCCTTGGGACACAGGGCTACAGGGTCCATTTTTAAAGTGGGTTTCAATCTATAATCTTTAAATTAAAGATGCTCATGAAAAGTGAATATTTTATAATCAGAATAAAAAAAAAAAATGCAATTAGCTATTGTTTTAATAATTTGTCAAAGCAGAATTTTCATATTCTGTGATTCTAACTACACTTTTGAAATTACAGGTCCTTAGGATCCAGAACTATTTCTGGGTCCCTTTTTGCTTAAACGAGGTTCCCATTTAAAATATAAATTTTCAACCCTTTTTCCAAGTAATGTTCACTCTTATAATATTGTTTTATTAATTGATAGACAAAGCAAAGAATTTCTAATCAAACTGAAAAATTGCAGGGGATTTTGTATCTTATTTTCGTATTTTTAAAAAATGGTAACCACTCAAAGAGTGCAACCTATTAAACTATTTCATTTACTATATAGCATTATTTGTTTTAAGTATGTTCAACTGTTTCTTTTTTTCTCTAAGTTTTTTCAGCAATTAAGTATACTACTAGCATAGTTAGTTAACCTAATACAGCTCATACAATAGTGAATGTGTTTTCCCTTTTAATATATATTGTGTATAATATGAACAGAGAAAACACAGGGGATTTTCTTCTTCTCCAGAATTGAGAAGCAACCCTGAGTTAGATGTCGAAATCACACGAATCGGACTCTTCAAAAAGAGATTACTAAATGCATGTTTTTATTTTGAGATTCAGTTTTTGTCATAAATAATATCATATTAAAAATAACGGATTTCATAAGCTTTGTGGAAATCAGTAGTAATAACTACATGCAAAAATGGAACAAAAATTTATGCAGAAAAGAAAAACAAATTTTTCACTTCATTATTCTCAAATGAGAAAAGAAAAATAACAAACATTTTTCCCCACTCCAATGCACAAGAAAGGCACCTTTTGAGTATAATTCTCAAGAAAAGATGAAATCTTTCGAAAATTTCTACAGAAAAGACTAGCAAAATTTTTTACTTCTCCCCCCAAAAAAATCTTTCTGCAAGAATTTAGTAACATTCTGCTACAATATCGCCATGATTCTGCCACTGGGAATGTTGATGCAAACATAATAATTAATTTTTTATATGAAATTTCAATTTGTTGGATGATATTACAGATGATATTTTTATGGGATTCAGAAAGGGGATTTTTATGGGATTTCAGGGAGTTGGATCCCTTTAAAGATAAAATCCCTATGATCATATGTTAGAAATTTTTGTTGTAAAAAAGTTTTACTATTGTATTGTCATATAGTAATAGTTTTGGTTGTGTTATATCAGGGTCGGCCATATTAAACCAATGTGGTTTAAACCAAACGTTTTTTTTTTATTATTTTAAAACCGCACTATGTTAAATCTTTTTTAATTATTTAATTTTTTATTACCTATTTAAACACTTTTAGTTTCAATATAACCTAATTAAGAAATAGTAAATTTGGCAGTAAAAATCTTTTCAATTTTGAGTTAAATTGCTGATGTGAATTTGTGCTTCTTTAAAACGTTATCAAAGCTAAGTCATAAAGTCTCTGAAAAGAAGCTTGAAATAAAATAGAAATAAAACAGTTTTTAAAATTAGTTAAATAGTGTAATTAGAGAATAACCTAAAATCAAAAGTTTTTCTGTAGGTGTTATTTTGAATTTTATTTCTCAGTGTATAGTTGTTGAATTTTTTTCTGTTATTAGTACAACTAAAAACTAATTTTTAATGTAAATGCAGTATTTTATTGTATTTGAAGTAAGGATTTTAATATTGGAAAAAAACGTGTATATATAAAAGAACATTTTAATTATCAATGTCTATTATTTTCTTTTGAGCTCTATTATTTATAAGCGTATTGACATACTTAAAGCTTCATTGTGTTGAATTATTCTTCTCTAATTGTTGCATTGTGTTCATTTACTTCCTTGTTCAAACTGGTTTTTTATTTTTTATTTATTATTAAATCATCGGTACTAAAATACACCTTCACTATACTATTTTATTTCTATGTATTTACATATGCAGCCTATTTGAAATTTTTAGTCTTTTTCATCCCTACATTATTTTCAAATATTTTTTTTTTTTATATAATATAATAAAAAATATATTATCTTAAGCTCTCCATGCTCTTAAATATTAAAATCGTTATTAATTCTGTTATAAAAGAGAAAAAAATTGCTCAAAATTATTTTTTGTTAATTTTTTTTAAATGAGCCATTTTCCTTGTGAAATCAAGGTCTATTTTGGGATTGTCAGTTGAAGTTCTGACTTGTTCAGGAAAAATTTTGATTTTGTCGCAAATTATTATTATAATTTTGATTAGTTATTATATGTCATTTTGAGGCAAGATAGAGTATATTTAAAGTACGGTCATCACATCATGAAGCATTTTAAGGATAATTGCAAGCCATTCAATTGGAGTTTGGGGGTTCTTTCAAAACCATTTATAATGATTGATAAAAATGATTTTTTCAACCATTAATAATGATTTAAAAAAATAAGTTTAAGAAATTAGTATATGTAATGTCTATTGTGCCTAGGATATATGTAATGCCTAGGGAATATGTAATGCATATTGTGGCATCACAATGCATGAACATCCATTTTGTTTTTCATGAAACTAATTTTTTTAAAGAATTGAATCTTTGGATGCAAAGAAAATTTTTTTTGACTTGTAAAATAAAATTGTTAATATTTGTGGTAATAGCCATATCATTATCTTTTAAATTACCCAAAATATTAGTACATGTATAAATTGAAAGTATTCAATTTTTAAATTTTGACCGTTCTAGAAAATTTTAATAATAGAGAATAAACACTGTTCGTATTTCGAAAATTGTAAAACGAAACACATAATAAAAGAACAAAATAATCAAAATTAATTCAAATCAACTTAATTTCTTCACACTGAAACATATATAAAATAAAACCACTTGCATCAGTTATCTGTTGTTAACCCCTGAAAATATATCGCACATTTTCATGAATGAACGATTCTTGTATAATTGAAATAATAACTTATTTTAAATTCCATGGGGAAATTTTCTTTTATATCTCCAAACAGCATGGGAAAAAGATTACTATTAACAGATGGTAAAAAACGCACCACTATTTATTAATTTATTTTTTCTACTATTGACAACAGAATGACTAAATAGAAAAAGCTGAATCTATGTGGAAAATGTCTATGGTTTGAAAAGATTTGTTAAATCTAGGTTTTTTTCTATAAAAACAAAGTTTTTAATCTGTGAAACTCTTGTCAGGCTAGTCTTGACGTATGCTTCTGAAGCTTGGACAATGACAAATCTGGAGGAAAATTGTATCGCAATATTTGAGAGAAAGATTTTGTGAGGTATACTCGGTGATGTAATTGTGTGAAAACAATAACTGGAGAAGGAGATTTAACTTTGAACTGTACAAGATTTATAAACAACCCGATATTATTAAATACATGAAAATGAATAGAATGAATTGAATTGACAATACACTAAAAAAGGTACTGTTTTTTCAGACCCACTGGAACAAGAAAGCGGGGAAGGCCGCGGTTGAGATGGGCTGACTCGGTGGAGTCGGATCTTTTTGCAATTAATGAAAATAATTGGAGATCAAAGATAAATCGGAAGTCGTTATGGAGAAATTTTCAGAGGAAGGCATTGGCCCATATTGGGCTGTCTGGCTAACTATGATGATTCTTTAAATTGTTTTGTTTTGAAAAACATTTTATACACATTTTATGATTTAGGATAGAATGGGGGGGATTCTCCTTCATATATCACAACACACACATAAATTGGAAAAAGACGAACCCAATTCTGAAACACCAGATTTCCTTATGCACACAAATTTTTAACACAGTTGGATTTTGTCGTCGCAATGGGAAATTAATCTCAATTGACTGTAACAC